TGGATGTTCCTTTTGATCATGCAGGGATATAACAGGTACTGTAATTACTTGTTGAAACCGCCGTGGCTTGATAAAGCACTGGAATCGGCTTGCACCACAAACCTCCAAAGAAAGATAGAAAGAGACAGAGAGGGAGCCTCATTTTGGCCAGACTTAACCACAACTCTCACCACCATCACTGTCCTCTAAACCGTCCTTGTTGCTCATCCACCGGTTCTCACCAAGTGAACCTCACGCCTCTACCAGTCCCGGTACAGTAGCGGTCTAGCGGTCCCTTGGCTCCAGAGCCAGGCTCCGGAGGCGGACTGGATCTTCGGCTATGACCACTTGAAGCAATACGGCCTTGCTGGGCTAAGCATGGCGGAACTGCAGAACTTCACCGAAGCTAAGCGGCCACGGCAGTTCTGCAGGGCGGACGTGGTGAAGTTGGTTTGTTGGGGATGGGATGGTGAGTAGACCATTGAACCGGAAATCATACCTTTCTACAATGAATGAGTATGTACCCAGATGCCTGTTTTGTGTGGCAAGGTCTAATGTAGGGATTCTTGGGGTATTTCAGCGAGATAGCTGGAAGGCTTGGCAGGGACTCAAAGCCTACTTGGTGAGTGTCAGTGGGCGTGATTGAGGCAATATCATGTTCTCTTGAGTGTTTTGCAGCATTTTGCAGGGTGCGTGGGGTTTCTTCATTCAGTTCACGAAGGCAATTTGATGGTGTGGGTGTTCTACATTGTTGTGGATATTGCCAGTGGACCAACTCTAGATCCACTCCCTGGAATCATGATGGAAGTGGATAGCATCGCCCCCTCTTCCAGACCATCTTCTCGACCTGCGTCGTGAACTCCACGTCCACCATGATGATTCCTCCGAGGTTTTGGTTGCGTGAAAAAAACCCTTCCTGCGGGGAAGGGTACGGATTGAACCCCAGGATCCCAACTAAATACCTTCGATGAAGTGGAGCGCATCAGGGAGAGTGCATTTGTTCATTGGATGATGTGGAGCCATCAGTTGGGAGAGCTGCCATCCGGCCACGGGTGTCACGAAATGCCCTCGTCATCTGTTCTCGGGGGCGGCCTCTTCAGCTGCCCGCCGGAAGAATGGACCTTGGAAGACCATTTCCCTCTCTACAACCCAGTGGTTTTCAGGTTCCATGTGGGGCCTCTTCCAGGGCATACCTAGATCTTGCAACGCCTATGCAACATGTTTGCCGAACTTGGCTGGTTTTATGGATCAAGAACGGCAGACTCTCGGCATAGTTGGACACCGAGAGTTGCGACCCGACCACCTCATGGCACCCGTCGCGTGCCTCTCAGGAACGCTTGTTGGAAGGAGGGGAGAGCTATGAGAGGCGTGTGTTTCTCTCGGCCGGACAAGTGTCATGGGACAAACAGGATGGGTTTTGGCATGGCTTGACCTGAGTTGGGGGAAAAGCATGGAAACACCTACCGTTGGTCTGAAGACTTGCTTTTGGGGGACTTGGCACCTGGCCGCGGTTTCGTTCTTGCAGCGGAATGACGACTTGTGCCCAGCAGTCGCTTCCAGCGTCTTAAGATCGGCTTTTGATTTGAACCACCGACCCGCTTTTGAGTAAATGTTGCTGGAGAAGCATGTTGGATTGTGGAGAGGTATGCGTCATGGTATGCTTCCGGCTATCCCAATGAGCCACTCGGCGTGACGCACCCGTTTGCTGCTAAGCGCAGGAAGCACAGGCGGTGTGGGTGTGTGAAACATGAAGCCAACAGGGTCACATCCAAGTGTGTTTAGATCCTTTGAGTGAGAAACGAGCATATAGTCAGTCAAACTGATCCCGTGGACATCCATCATCCATGGGCCCTTATTGTTCGTTTGTTGCGGTTAGCATTGCAGAACTTCTTTACCCACTTTGACTTCTTTGCACTTTGCCCTTCCTCCAACCTGTGTGCTTGTGTAAGAAAGTGGTCCATTTTCACTTGGGCACCATTATGATTTCCTTCGTGCAATTCAAGTAAACGGTAGATGAACAAATCCGGGAAACATATACTCTCCACTAGTGAGTTTGGACTTGTGAAATGACTGTGCAAAGTTCCATCTCCTGTCTTCACAAGGGTGTCCACAACTCCCGTCTACCATCAAAATCAAGAACAACCGAGGCTATAGATTATTGAAGGTCTTCGTAGGTCACCTTGGAGCTATCTCAACCATAATCATAAGCGCTATGAAAGTTTGCACAAGCGCACACACACACACACACACGCTTCTTACTTGCTATAAGCAAAACATATCAAAGGTGAGCCTTGCATAAGACCCCCCGCAAGAATGGATTCCCAGCAACAAGTAGAGTCTACTGTTCAACACCGCTTACTTGATGCTGTGTGTGTTGCAGGGGGTGTATTTTACCCTCCCCAATTCTTAAAAAAAGATCGCGGGAGCTTTATCGTTGTTGGCTCTAAGTTGGTCCATCGCCCCCAGGTTAGAGCATTACAGCTTGAAGGCAGCGAATTGGAACGCCACCTGGAAATGGCAACGCCGGCGGCAGTACGTGTGTGCTTTGGTGATCCGTACCGCGGAGGATTTTGAAAACTGTTCCGGGACCCAGGTGCTGCGTGGCTTGGTCCGCACTGGCACCCCGCAGAGGATGGGTGGGAGGTTGAGCACCATGCAACCGCCCAGATCCCCCAGTTGACCACGCTTTTAGCGGAGTTCTTTGAGCTCGACGCCACATTTTCCACGCGAATCTGGGGTGTGATGATGTGGTTGTTTTCTACCCGTTCATTGATCCTTTCGGGGTTGTAAGACCAAAGGCATGTTACTGTGTGCGAGATGTGCATCAGGAAGCAACACCATTGCCCACCACTCCCCCTTAGGAACCACCTGACACTGCAAGTTGCATGGAACCGGTTGCAAACGACTCATCATCCCTAGCTGCGAGGCGGCTGCTGTCGATGGTCATCCTACAAAATGAATTCCTTCCACAGAAACAACCTCTTTGAAACATCTTCCACATCCAGGATATACCGGGATGAATTCAAAATTCCATGCCCCAATGCGGAGTGGTTTCACTCCCCACGATGGTTTTGGTTTGTCGGACCTGCTAAACCGCGCCTCTGACTTGGTAGGATCATCAATCTCAATTGTTTGTTGAGAATTCAGCGCCAGTCACTACAGCTTTTCTTGTCAAATTCACAGTACATTTCACCAGTCACTTTCTATAAATACCTGAAGCTGCTTGATTTGGTAGGCCTCATCAAGCATCTCTTGTTCACACTGGTTGAGTGCCAGCCACTTACTCTCCCCTGAAACAATCATGGAAGTGGAACATGATGGAACTTGGCCTGTTGTTTTAGATCAGATGGTGTTCCACTTCCATGCCAATGAGTTGGAATATGTCAGAATGTATTTAGAGTGAGTTCGAGTGGAGCTTTCTTCGGCTGGTGGCCAGAGGACCGCCCTTCACACCGCCCTTCAGGCTCCTGGCAGCTGCCTTTCATGGAGCGCTTCGACCGCTTAATCTTGGGACGGCTTTGGTCCTGGGCACAGGGCTCATCGCTGCCGCTAGCGCAACAGATCAAGCACTTAGCTGCGGCCAACCAGTGGGAGGACCAGCAGATGTGGCCGGAAAACAACCATCAGCGCTACAGCAGCTGATCTATAGAATAGCAGGCCCTATTGAGAGACAGAGTATGAATTGAATCTTGATGTAAACACGGTGACCTTGGGGACCTTTTGAGCTAAGTCTTGTTCGGCATCCTGGCCTTTGGCTCCCAAGACGCGGTTGAGAGACCTGAAGTGTGGCGGCCCTGTAGTCTATGTACCACTACTAGTGGTACATGGGATAGGCATGGATGGGCTATAAGGCTCTTCAACCTCTCTTGGCCCTCCACATGCAGCATGCGCAGTCCTTTTATATATCAACTCCGGCCTTCCGCAGTTTGCAGGAGCTGCTTCGGCTCTTCAAGGGCTTAGTCGAGTGGAGCTTGCAAAGTGGCACGCCTTTGGAGTCTGCCCTCTTGACCGCCTAAGACGAGGATTCGAGCGCAGCATCAGCGCATTTGTTGTTCTCGCGAAGATCGAGCGGGACGAATCCGTTGAAAAAGCGCTGTAAAGAGTGATTCGTCGTCTGCGCCGAGCCTCTGAATAAAAAGAAGCGGGCGCACCAACGGACGTCTCAACGGCCTGCAGTCCAGTTGGCGCAGGTTGAAGGGGTTACGGGCTGGGTGTGGGTTTTAAGACGGAGACACCCAAATACTATAGCCTATAGCCCCTTCGTAGGCTGGTGATTTTTCCCAACCGACCTTGGCAGGGGGTCGTTGTGGGCTCCGTGGGGGGGCTCGGTCTCCCGATGGTGAAAGACATCCGGTCCGTGTGATTCGGATAGGCATGATTTCATCCTTGGAGTGGTGCCAAAAAGCTTCTGATCGGGAACTGGCAATGAAGAGGCCCTGGTTAAGGGAATCCAAGGGCTGTGGTGGTTAGATGATTGATGGGCTTCAAAGACCATGAAAACAAGGGTTAACCTGGTAGTGTGGTGTGAAAATCCTTTGCAAAACAATATGTTCTTTGGAAAATTCCATGGCCCAGAGGCTCATGGACCCGAACCAACTGCTAGCTGCTACATGTGTGTTGGAGGTCACCTTGGTTTGTGAGGCTCCATTTCACCCGGACCCGAACTCGTTCGGGTCCGGGTCCCACTAAGCCAAACAGAGGTCCTTGGACTGGCTATGACGAGCCTGGTCACCGATTCGATGGGCTGAGTCAAACCCAGTCGATCCATGGCGTGGCCATGGGAGAGTTTTTGCCCATCGGAAGAGCATCAGGGCGCACCGGACCAAATCGTCGAAAGCCAAGCGCAACAAGCTAGAATCGACCAACAGATGAAACATGATCACACATCAGTCACTACCAGCATCCTCCCAACAGGTCACTGGCCACTTTTAAGTCTCGAAGCTGGTAGATCAATCCACCAATGCATTGACCAAAACCCCCTTTTCACCGTTCATCGAGCGTGCTGAACGCACGCTCGCCAGGCTCAAAGCGGCCCAGCGGAGACGGGGGTTGGAACTGGGTGGGTAGTCGGTGGCAGAATGACATGTACCTGGAGTCTCTAAGTACCTCGGAAAATGGGTACAAGTACCTGCTTTTCTAGGGTCATGTCCCATTTTCTAAGGTACTTTGGAGGGTCCAGATATAGTGATTTCAGGCTCCCCAGCAGATTAATCCTCAGGGTCAATGTTAGTTTGCGGGAGGCTAGATGGCACTCGCAACATCTCGCAACCCAAGATGTTTGGTAGATGGGTTGAGCAGAGGCCGCAACTTGCCCTCCGCGAAACAAATACAAGTGCCAGTACAGATGCCGTACTCCAAACAAAAAATAACTAACAAGACCACGTGGTGCAAGTGAATTCATATTATGATTGCCTTGCTCGGTCAGTTTTATTCACAATGCCTATATAGACACCTAGACCTTTCAGGTAAAAGGGACTTTAAAAAAGGTATCACAAGAGCTTGCTATCAGTTTAACATAATTCAACTACCTGGAGTCTCCAAGGCATCCTAGGTCCTAGGCAATGGGGCTTGCTACAGTTCCTTGTGAACAGGTACTGATAAGCCAGAACCAACAGAGGTTAAGTGACCTTATAGGACCCTACAGGAGTACCTATAGGATAGTCTAGTTCGGGTTCTTCAACCTCTGCTGGAAACTCAGACACTCCCTGGAATTGATTGAGTTTTATACCATGCAACCATGGCGGACATGAGGACCGCCTTGTTGGGCCGCAAACGGCGCCTCTTGAGGAGCCCTTCTTTCAAGCTCCCATCGGCGTCGAGGACGCAGAGTCATGAGATCACGAGTCCAGTCGTGGATCTTTCCAGTCGCTTTGCTTGGAATCCCGTCTTTCTATCCATGACTATCCTATACTGTAGGTACTCCTGTAGGGTCCTTTCAGGTCACTTAACCTCTGTTGGTGGGGTGTTGCTGTCGTTCTTCGCAGTTGCCACTCCTCCAGGACCCGTCACTCTTCGACGATGACGACGACGACGATGATGAGGATGAGGACGATGAGGGCGATGACGAGGATGAAAACAGCACCTTGGAGCGACCAAAGGCACGTTCCAAGCATCTCCATCTCCTGGGTTTCTCTACCCAGACACTCCATGTATGCCATATAACATATATGCCTACATTGGGGTGGTTTGGGGGGGCCAAGGTAGGCGTATATGGCATACATGGAGTGTAGTATGGGCTAGCAGTGCCTTTCCAGACAACCATGGGCAACAATTAGAGTCCACGGAGCCGCGGACTCGACTCGCATGTAAATGTGCCGTTCCTTTTTGGGGGGAAAGAAGCCGCTGGTGAGTGACATGTCCTGTAAAGGCCACTGGGCCCCGCCTTTGATCGCCTCTTTGAGCGATGCCCAGCCACGAAGCGATTGTCTCATGGAGACATATGGAGACAAAAAACCAACCGAGGTTCTTCAGAACCCCAACGTTCGAGTATCCCAGGACTGGGTACCCCCGGTTATTGTCCGGATCCGACTCGTGACCTGGTCACTGGATACCGCTCTTGGTAGTCCTCGTGATCCCAGTCCGCTTCGTCTCCCTTCCGCTGCAAAGCCTTTTCGTCGCTCTCGAGGCGCCTCCCTGCGCGACGTCGTCGCGGGCTTCTTGAACGGGTCTGCTGGCCCGAGGGAGACGGCTGGTGGGTGGGACACAGATCGGTGGATGGAAGTAGAGTCTAAGTAGAGGCAAAGGAAGTAAGTACGTGACAGGTATTCTGGCCAGGCATGCCATGTTAGACATGAAAGGATTTAAGAGGTGGTTCAATCCAAATTGAGGGGTGTTCATGAATCAAGAGTCCACATATTTTCGTCTTTTGAGTGGAATTCAGGCGTCCAGGGGCTCAGAGACACTGGCTTCTCGACCGAAAAAGGGTGACCTTGTTCAGTCATGTTCTTTGGATTTGGATGGATTTGGGGTCATCCAAATCCAGAACAATGAGGTCCTTGACCAGAACTAGTGCCAACCTTCCACTGGGCACTGGCACTTGGTGTGATTCGGAAGCTGCAGGCCCCTCTAAAATCAAAGAACTAGCACGAAACAGAAACTGTGAAGACCTTCCACCAACACCTGTCAAAAAGCAAGTGCAGTGTCTAGTTTGCAGATCATATACCCTGTCAATTTATCTAGTTTATAGATCACTTATCTAGTTTATAAGTTCATAGAGCATGTGCGGCCCCCAAAAGTCCAGGCTGGAAACCGTTTCTTTTGACCATACCCTGTTGCCACGTCAAGAGCCGGAACAGTCACAGTCATCTCACGACGCGGCCGACGTCACGACGCGACCGACGTCACACGCCCAGGAATGGGGCTACTTATCAGGAAGACACGCGAGAGATCAGGAAGGGTGGGAGGGGAGGAGAGCGGAGGCCCACAAGATGGAGACGGGCCTAGAAGACCAGCTAGACCAGACATTTCATTACCTGGAGAGGTTCTTGGGGGTCCAATCAATTCTATCATCAATTAAATTATCTCATAATTAAATCATATTACCAGAGCTTTCTAAGGGGTTTCTATTCCAAGTTCCTTAGGGCTTTGGCGGTGTGAATGACTGATTTTGATTCTAGGCTTTGTGAAATAAGACCAGCTGCAACTTTGGGGGCGGTCATGGGCGAATGGCTTGTTTCAGCCGGCATAGGGGATCCTTCGTCGGATCAAGCGAAACACCCCTCTGAGGTATGGTGATGGGAGACACATTTTACATAGGCATGGAGCTACCAGCCGTATCTTCTGAGAAGGTGTGCGGTTCCCTAGGGTCTTACAAGTACATGACATCCATAGCGGTGTTTTGAACACCACCGGCCACAGGGTCTTGACAGGAAGACGATCGTGTCTTCATCCCCACCATACCTCGCAGGTTCAGGATTGACATGGATTAACTAATATACTACTTCTAACCCTGTTAGTCGCGATCACCGAGCAGAGTCTCATATGTTGGTCACTGCACAGCGCTCAATAGATAGAACAGCAACTGATCTCTTTGGGACAGCACGCCGAAAGATGCCAGCACCCGACTTCACAGGTGCTTCCTGGTGACAAGTCCGGTGCGCAGAAACCACCTGCGGTCGGGTCTCCAAACAGCATGGCCAGGAGGGTCCTGGTATATTTTGATATAGACATCGTTTGGGCCTGGCTATTGCACCATTTCCACTGACGCCGTCAGCCAGGCACCTTTTACCTTGGGTGGAACTGGCGCCTTGGCTCGCGCACTGCAGGGGGGGAAAAGATCGGCTTGGATCACCTCCATGTCTTGCACCCCAGAACTTCCTTTTTGACTCATTTGACCCCACCTGGTATAGTCAATCCATCCACCACTACCATAGCCCAGGGGTAAGAGGAGTCACTCCACTCACCCAGACGGACATCAGACCAGTCCAGACGCAGAGTCACCGGGGGTCCGACCGTCGCGTGGGATGGTCCGGGTCTGATCCCGGCGGCGTTTGAAAGTTTCAATCACCAACTTGTTACAACCAGCGGTCACAAAGGGGTGCCGAACTTGGAGGTTAGGGGTGCCCAGAACATCCACTCACTGGATGGGACTAAACACCACCCCTTTGTGACCCCTGGAACATGGAGGTGATACCCATCCCAGCCGCTCCATGGGACTGCCATATATGCCGCCCCATTGACCCCCCCAAACCACCCCAATGTAGGCATATATGGCATACATGGAGTGTCTGGGCATTGTTGATTGTTACAACACTAGTTTCAATATGTTTCAATCAAATGCTGGAGTCAATACCCAGTTGTCAAATGAGTGGGGTTCCCACCGTAGCCAAAGACCGGACACCGAGGTTTCAGGATGTTTCAACACATCTCATCCACGATTTGTCTTGTTGGCCTTGGGCGTTTCACATCATGGTGAACTTATTCAACACAGCTTATTGTGTTATTTCCTTCTTGTTACCTTATGTTTTTGTTTGGCCTTCTTGTGTTATTCCAGTATTCAACGCAGCTTATCATCTCCTGGTTGAACTTTTGGCGCGCGCTTGGTGCTGGGAAGGCCTCGACCTTCTCAAAACGCCGGTGAGCAGGGCGCAGCTTAGTCAAACGTGCGGAGCTTCTGTTGACGAGATGTGCTGTTGACTATAATTGCGCTACTTATATAGTCGTTTTAGTCAAACGTTTTCGGAAAGTCTCCCTCAGAAAAGTGTCATTGCCAGGACTTGGTCGAATCTATCGGTGTACCATCCACCTAAACCATCCTAAACCCTTGTTTGCTTGCCACGCTGGACCTCCACATTCCAATCCACACCAACTTCCTGCGGCGAACGCGCCATGTTGAACCCCCCCCAGGTCTTTGCAACAGGAAGGAGTCGGAAGGAGCAAGAGTTGCTCCCCCGCTCCCACGCATGGACCCGACGGACGGGGTCCCAAAACCCCCGAGGTTTGCGCTCCAAAGGTTAGCGTCAATGTGAAGAAGTGTCTTGGCGCAGACCCCGTCGACGCGGGTTCACGAGGTGTCTGGCGCGTTTTCTTCGTCAGATCGGGGTGGGAAGAACGAGGCTAAAGCAGGTTGGTTACGACGTCGTGACTCGACGTCGTCGTCATATCGTCATTTCCTTGATGAAAGTAAGTTGGAATTGTCCAGTATATCAGTGCTTGGGCCCACCTCCCCAATACTTGTGACTCCATGGATTCCGATGATGAAAGCTGTCAAGTTGTTTCTTGGTGTGGGTCATGATCCTGTGCAGTGAAAAGAAACCCTGATGTTCATTTGTTCCGGATTAGCTTTCTTTTTCATCCTTCCACTCGAGACCCATGCGTTGGACGTTGGGTGAACAGAAGGTGGGCACCCTTCATCTCCCTGAAACCGAGGTTGTTGGGGAGCCCATGGGAGCCCAGTGCTTTGCAACATCGGGGCAAGAGAAGGAACAAGAACATCCAAGGACCACGAGCATCTCACCATATATGCAATACCCAGACACTCCATGTATGCCATATGTGCCTACATTGACCCCCCCAAACCACCCCAATGTAGGTAATATATACCATACAGTACATGGAGTGTCTGGGATAGATAGACCCCCGAAGTATAGAAAAGATAGAAAAGTAGATCCCGACAAAAAATGTCTTGGAGACCGTGCCACTATCTATTTGGGCACGCGCACACACACACACACCTGGTCGGGGGCCCTGGTATGGTTGTGTCCCCCATGCAGCTGACACCGCCTGGATCTCCAGTCCTTAGACTGCTGAGGCGTTATCTTGAGGAGCTGAGCTATGCTTTGAGACCACAGGAGCTAAAGCCGCAGGCGCCGTGATATATGCCCGTATCGTCGGGTGGCACACATGACGAACGTGCTGCCCCAACTTTGTGTGCTTGGTTCCAATTAGTTGCCAAAAAGAGAAGGATGGGTCATGGTCTATTTCGAGAAGGCATTCAATTTGCAGATCTAATCTATTCAAAAGGCGCCACGCCCGCCATGTGTCGCATATCACACCGCGCCCATCCTCGCCCATCCTCCGATTCGCCCCCCAACCCAGCGGAACTCGCCTTTTCGTTCAGGCACGAGAGATGTTCGTGCGCCAGGGCATGTCGCGAGGAGTGGCCTGGGAACTCGGTGCCAGAAGGTTCAGCTGTTTGGTTAGGACCTATATAGGTCAAGCAGCAAGAACCCAAAGCACTTGGGGAAGCTGAGGTGGTCAGTGAGACAGCTTCAAGGGACGCACTGCCGTGGGCCTGTGTTTTCAGCTGAAAAAGTACCCACCCAGACGCTCCAAACAGCCCTTGGTCCCTCGAAACCTAGGGATTTGAGACCCCAGACCCCTCTATATATGAGGGTCCGAAAATTGTTCATATGAGGGCCCATGAGCGTCTGGGCAGTAACCATAATTACGTGCATAATACCCTAAGAATCCGTAGGGGCCCTCCATGGCAGGGGTCGGACTCTCCATAGCAGGGGTCCAGACCCGAACCAAACCCTACGAATTTGAGGGCCCAGATTCTTATGGTAATAGGTTTCGAGGATGTTCGACGGGTGTCAAAGAGGGGAGCCCATGGAAGCCCTATCGTTGAAGCGAGGTGACATATACCATTGAGGGTCGATTGGTCCATTTGCGTCATATTCCATGGGATTCGTCATAGTATGTCATTGGTCCATTTGCGTCCATCTGGCGCATGGCGCGGATTTGGGCATGAATCTTCTATGGCTTTGGCCCGGATTTGGGGGCGTCCCATCAGATCAAAGACCTGGCACACCTTGCGGACCTTGAGGACCTGGCCGTTTTGGTTGCGCTCATGGAGTCGGACCCATGTGGCTGGACCAACAACAGGTGGCTTTTCCATGGTGCCATCCACTTTCACCTTTGGGGGAGTCTTCCTCGGAGTGCTTCGAACTGAGGTCACCGAAGCAGTTCGGCTCATCGAGCTCGGCTCCCAAGCCGGCGTGACGACGGGCGGGAGTCCCTGCAAACAACCGCCGCCCAGCTCTGCAGGTCTCCGAACTTGGTGGCATTGGAACCCGTACAGCCGGTCTCCGCAGAGGGGGACCGGTTGTTGCACCTTTCTAGCTCTACTTTTCTTGGTGGAGACTGGAGACATCTCTTTTTAAGGCTATGACTGAGCAGGCAACACCACACCATCATGTCGACACCCAATCCCAGACACTCACAAAGGCCCATCGACCGATCTACCTCATCGACCTAAACAAGACAAAACCTTCCAAAAAGTTTCAGTGGGTCCATGTTGCAAGAGTAGAGTTGGACCTGGAGTTCTTGCTCATCACCCCCTCCTTGAGGACAGGGGTTAAACCCAGTCACAGTCATCTAGACGTCCAGATGTCGCAAGCCGTCCCTCGACCCGCTCAGGACGGCGCCTTCCGCCGTGGCCGCGGCCGCCACCAACTTCCTCGGGGACTTTGTTCCTCGGATGGGGCGGCGTCACGGAGAGATGGAAAGCTAGTTCGCCCACAAGACAGATACACAAGAACAGAGGTGTGCTCTGTCACAAGCCTCGCATGTTGTCAGGGTCGGCTTCTACTACAGTACATAAGATGGACATGTACATGTCTGGTATTTCAGACATATATCGTATGTTTGTTTGGGATATGTTCGACACCTCCCGAATCCAGAAATCCAGAATAGACCTCGAAAAGAGGCACGTGGCGGTTTGAAGTCTCTGATCGCAATGAATCATAGCATTTTGTCAAATAGTGGGCTGCTGCTTGTGAGCAACAATAGGAGAACTTGTGGGTGATTACACGTTTCTGAGTAAAAGAATCTAACAAGTGGAATACCACTTGAGGAAACAGGATCCTTGACCTCCAGGCCACACCTTTGCTCCGCAAGTCTTTGCTCGCCGATGGAAACCAACACCCCACGTCATCGGGCACCGGTTTTCCGCCCTGGGTCCCGATGAACAAAAACACACATGTCACACACAATGAGTAGAACGAGTGTGGGTTTGCCAAATTGGTGGAAGTTCAGCCGGGCTCGGTGTTGAGGTGAATGAACTCGTTTCGTCCTTTTTGAAGCCTCGCGGGGGTGAATGTTGAACGGTCAATGCTTCTTTCCCAGGTGTTGAAGCCACAACAACAGCAGCGCCTTGAAAAGACATACTATCTTCAGCCAGCGCCGATTGACCTTGACCATAGAGATCTAATGTTTATCCTGCTGACTGGCTGAAGCGCGGCCCACTGCATCAGTTCAACAGTCGCTCATGATTGAGTATCGCAAGCCGCGTCGCAACCGCCTCACCAGCGCTACACAACTCCATCGCATCCATCGGTGGATCACGGCATTCTCGTCGCCCAGGCGTTCAATTCCGACATGGGCTCCAGGGAGGTCCTCAAGGTGCGGACCAGCACGAAGAATCTCCCGTTCCGCAGTGCTGAAGGAGTGATTTTTGGGGGTGGCAATGAGATGCGAAGGAAGATGAAGGAAGACCATGTTCTGAGTTCATCGACCTTAAAGTGGCCAAGGACGTAAGTACGGCACCGTCGGACGCACCAAACCACCAGCTTATTAGAGCTTCTTTGGATGCTGCTTAGAGCGCATGTAGACGTCTTCCAGGGTTGAGCGGCGCGAACGACCAACGACCTGCGCAGGTCTTCGATCGCATTGCGGATCGCTTTCAGCTCCTCTTCGCCTCCTCTTCGGACAAGGCGCGTCGAGACCGGACATATACCGGATAGAACCTGAATGACCTCTATTTTGGACCAGAAGCCAGAAACCACCCAAAAGATGGTCTTTTCCTATCCAAACAGAGGTCATGTCTGGGTTCTAGGTGGAGAGAGAGAGAGAGAGAGATTGAATTAGATTGATATGAGTCATATGAGCCAGAATCATCGCGGTTCCCTTGCAAACCCAGCATCCTCCGGGCACAGTGGAGGCGGATCCGTCCTCCGGTGCAGGTGTCTTTGATGATCTCAGAGGATTGGCTCCTACAGGCCGCCTGAGACGGGGGACCGGACTGAACCGCGCTGTGGGACCGTCCGCGCTGCGAAAGCGCCCGTGCACCGGTAGAGAACTGGACGGATGGAGGAGGATGCGGAAGAAACGAGCGACTTGGGTGAAGTGGGGCCGTTGTTGCTCCGCCAAATGCTCCTCAGCTTGATGTCGGTGCTCCTCCTCAAGCTCGTGTTCCGGCTGTTCGCGGCCCTCTTGCCGCATCCCTGCATTTGCTCAGTTGCTGACAATCAATTGTGACCAGTCAAATTGCTGGACAGTTGAAGTATTCACCTAGGCCAGCCCGCCTGGAGAGTACAGATCCACCGACTTGGATCATGAGAGTAAAGGCTGGGTGATGAGGCTTGGCCCACCAAGGGTTCTGCATTTCGGCGGAGGCAGACTTCCATTGTCGGTGAAACTAATGAGTACTGCCGGACGTGGACCCCAACAGAAAGTGTTGCAGATAAAGAGAGTTTTGGAGCCAGTGCGCTTTGGTTCAGCGTTCAGTGATTCAGCTTTGATTCAGCTTTTCAACGGAAGGGATCGGCTAAGTGGATTATGTCTCAATGTTGAAGACTTTTTGATGATGTCACTGAGACTCAGCCAAACAGTGTCTCATTGTGAACCTTTGGCGCTCCTTTGTTTGTACCGTCCCAAGGGTTCACCAGCGAGGGTGAGTCCGAGAACCCAACTGTGATGTCCATCTCAGAAATCAAGCTGAAAGATGTCAACAACCGTTTGCCTGAGTAAGACCCATGGATTCAATATGATTCAATCCCCTACTCTCTTTTTGATGATAGTTACAGCAATACCAGACGAACGAGCGCTCAAAGACCTGAGGCCTTCCAAACGGAGTCCACTGAGAGGAACGGCGAGGGAGTCTGCTGAACAGTATGGTTTAAATCAGCAAAAGGCTTGTTAAACGTTTGGATGATCAGTCAATGTCCCACTCTGCGACCTAGCTTTGTTGAACTGGGGCAGTCACAGAGTGTCCAGTTCCCGCGCACTAATTTGGTACAGTGCAATAGGTAGAATAGAATAGCAAAAGGCATTGTCCCTTCAAACGGGAGGTGACACACACACACACACACTACAATCACTTCCATTGTCCCCGTCCCTCTCTTGCACTGACCACTGAACACGGTCACTTTGCCCTTGCAGCTACCGTCCTGTCGCTGCGCTACACGACAAGCAACACCTGCTGAGGACTGACTCTTGGCTATTGCCATACGACGGACGTGAGACGCAGGACGCGGGACGGCAAGATGTCAGGGTTTTGCCTTTGCGTTGTTTGTATACAGCCCTTTGTGCTGCACGACCATGCAATGCTACAGCCTTGAGACCAACAGTAGACATTGGTTGTAGTTGTAATTATTCAATTTAAGGATTGGAGGGTCCTGCCCCCTCCAGAGGATTCCGGTCCGGCCCCTACTGAACGGAGGCACTGGAATTGCTGAAGATACTGTCGTGAGTGTGGTCTTCAAGCCAAGCATGGTGATATGATCCCACAAGGATGCCGTCACAAGTCTAGGTGGCGTCATTGACTCGGAACTCCTGCTTGCTGTCGAAATCCCAAGTGACGAATCAAGTTGGTCAAAGGGCGTTCGCGGATTGCGACTGCTTAGCCACGTTGGCCATCCCAGACGTCCGTGACGCGGCAAGTATGCCTTTCGGAACTGCTGCTCATTGGTGAGCTTGATGATCCCAAACTCAGTAATTAACCCACATTGCGTTGTTTGCCTTTAAGGGTTGCAGCTCTTGCTCTTCGTCTAACTTGACCATCCCGCACTGTGTGACGCATTGAGCCTTTCAGGGTTAGTGAGCCATCAACAACATCAACAGACCCACATTGGGAAGGGTGCCTTTGAGAAATGCAGCCTCTTTAGCGAACTTGGCCATCTGAGACAGTGAATCTTGCTTTTGGTTGCAGAGCTGTGGCCAACTTCATCCCAAACTCAGTAACCCACACTGGGAATCATGCCTTTGGGAATTGCAGCTGTTTGGTTTTGACATTTGTCGACACTACCAAGTCTGAGAGAAATGCGTTGCAAGGCTGCCGGCAGATAGCCAAAGAATGCACATGTTCATGCTGCGAACACAGCTGGTTTGGGGATGGTTGGGTTTGCCCCCAATGGCCAGCTATGAATCACATTAAATCACCACTGCAAGCCACTGACCTGCGGAGAACGGACGAGTTTCGACCAGCTGAAAAAGAGTCGACGAGACTCGCGAATGACCGCGTGTTGGGATTCTGCACGTCACGTCCCCAAGGTCATTCGCAGGAACCCCACCCAGGTGGGCCATGTTTCTCATGGCCCGGAACAAATCAATCACCTAGCAAGGACACTACGAACGGAGCATTCTGGGCATCGCTACTAGGAACAAGAAGCTACGTTCGGGGCTCCTGGCCGTACTACTAGGAGCAAGAAGCAAGAAGACTCAGCAAAACATGAAAAGTGTTCCTAAATCTCAAAAGTTGCGTTTCCCAGAAAAAGCACTTATGCTTGGAAAGACAGTTATTTGGCAACATTAGGAAGTTGTAGGTTAAGCCCTAAGCTCTTTTCAGGGGATTCTGCACCCCCATCCCGAGTCGTGGGTGGCCCTTCTCGCGGGACTTCTTCACCTCCAAAGATCCGAAGATCCTGGGGGTACCTGGCACCCTATCCCAGACACGACCTGTCTGGGACTGCCATAGATCTGCCGCCCCAGACAGACCCCCCCCAATAGCACCACCACCCCTGGCCGTTTTGATCTAAGGCCGTCCGGACTGGCAGTCCCATGGGTCGGTGTTTGGGCCAATGGAAACCCATGAAGCATCGCAAGCCTCCGTGCTTTCGATCTCTTTGGGGCGGCGGTGTCCCGCTGTCGACTGCGTGATCGTCGACTGCCTTGACCGACCGCGTGGCGGTGTGAACCGGTCCGACCGTGACGGTGTGAACCGGTCGCGGTGTGACCTGGGGTGCCATGACTCACCTCACCAGCTTCACAAGTAACTAGATCCCAGACGCGACCTGTTTGGGACTGCCATATATGCCGATCAGGGATGGTATTGGGGTCTTTTTGGGGTGGCATACATGGCAGTCGCATGGAGTTTTTGGGATTATAGGTACGTCATTCACAGTCCTTATGACCTATAACAGATTCCATAGAATAATCACTTAAGAACGAACTATCATCATCCACGAACTATTCTCCGTGATAGGAGAATATCCAACCGGCCGGTGTTAATGTTACTCATGTTGCTCCTGCTTCGGCCCGCTTGTTACACCCTGGAAGACTAACATGGAACCTGAAAACCCCTGGTTGGTAGAGGAAAATAGTCTTCCATGGGACCATTGTCAGGGTCTATGTAAGTTTTCGGGAGTGTAGAACACTGTCTTCGTCCAGATGAGCACCGCCCGTGACCCACGGAGGCAGCGATCCTCCTGTGCGTGAACATCGCGGCCACCTGTCAGGGATCCTCAGGTGACAACGCGTGTTTTTTGGAGCCCTCTTTTTCCTTCCAAGAGAGGTCAAGTGACCTTATAGGACCTCACTGGGCTACCTATGGGATAGTCTATAGGGTCATTCAACCTCTGTTGGTTTGTCCGCTTATTCTCCAGTTTGGGCCACCACTGGTTTACAAGGACACCCAAAACCAGGTCCACCATTGACCAGATAGCGTCGATGATGCAAGGCGAGGATGGGGTCCTGTGTTCTTCTTCTCCCAAGAAGTGGGGAGAAAGACTCTCAGGGGTGATGTTTCCAAGAGAATTGGCCACACTAAGAATCCAGGCCCATTCCGCAACACATAGGGCATAGGGTTTGGATCGGGCCCGTTTTCCCCTGCCATGGAGGGCCCAAAGATTCTTAGTGCAAGGAGATTCTGATAAGCAGAGTTCGATGATGTTTGATGAAGGGAAGCACACTTTACTCCGACGAAGCGATGAAGGCAGGGATCAGATGACTTGGGGAAAGTGTTGCACCATCTGCGGCACGGCATCTTTGCCACCATACAGAACGCAGTCATAAAAGCTCAGTTCCTGCAGAGGAACCTGACAAAGCGACGTTACGATCCTGAGTCACGTAATTTTACGACGCAACATGAGGCCAACTGGGCGATGCCAAAAAAGATCAAACAACCAGGAGTCACGTTCGACGGGGTGCCGATATATTGGAGGTAGTCCGGGTGCCCCTGTCACCTGCACTCACTGGATGGGACCAAACACCACAGCACGGGGCCCTGGAATATATCCCAGACACTCCATGGGACTGCCAAAACCACCCAAAACCACCCCAACTGATCGGCATATATGGCAGTCCATGGAGTGTCTGGGTATGTTTGTTCTATTTTGTTCTGATGTTGCTTGAGTCAATGCGAAAAGAAAATTCGCATTACCGTGTGGTGTTGGTGTTGCGTTACGGGCAACAGGCGATTGTTTTTCATTCAGCATGCTGGGGCCCTTGGATTCAAAAGAACGCGCACAATGCATGGTAACGTGCACATTTAATACAATCATTGTTTACCATCATTGTTGTATGTTTTTCCCCACCTGTCAGGTGAGGGTTGTCATGGTGGGGATCACTCAAAGTAAAGTACAATTTGTTTTTGTGTATTTTTGTCAATGGCCTTTCTATGTTATAGACACGACGTTCGATTAGCACTTCAACGGCACCTCTTTATACCCGGTGCATGGAGCGCTAGTTAAGTGATCATGTTCAACAAGGGCGTTTTGCTGGGTCATGAAAGATAAGACATTTGGAATGCCGTTTTATAGAGACGTTGGTTTGCTGCTTGTATAATGTTGTATCCAGAAACATAAGTCAAGAGGACACCAACATAAGAGAATAGACAGTCAATAAACACCACTGTGACTGTCACCACATTATACTTTATAATATAATACAAAGGTTTTGGTTTCAGTCTTCCCCTTGTTTCATTCTCTGTTTTGGGGATTGCCCCGTGTCTTTGTGTCTAGTCCCGAAAGGGATGCTGGAACACGTCACGAGGAGGGGTCTCCCCAGTGCCCCGGTTTCGGCGGTCCCCCCGGACTACAGATTAGGGGCAGACTAGGACACTGAAAAACGACACATCAATATCTGAACTTGTTCTGGTCAGACCCGCTTGCCAGAATTGTTTGTTGCTTGCGCTTTGTCGCCTCATTTTCTGGATTTACGATGATTTACGGGGTTGGGCATGTTGTAGAGAGCCGAGGTTTGACTGATTATCGATCGAGAGAGTGAGGCGTGAAAACCATGGAGCATCCTACGCTTTGTGAAGCATCCTACTTTATATTCACCGGTATGAAAACACATCAAAACCACAAATGTCGCTTCTTGGTTCGGGAGTCCGCACTTACACCCTGGGTTTGTTTGGATTGGGCACTGGAGATCCACTCATGAAGCGATCTCAGGATCACCCAGGAGATGCAAGGAGAATGCAAGATCCAAGATGCCAATATATGACTCTCCAACCAACTGGCATAGAGGCTTGCCCAAAGAGATCAAAATTGGTGAGGTTTTGGACTGTGCTACTAGTTTTTGTTGAGTTTTGAACACCGTGCACTCGCGACCTGGTCGCTTGAGAGAGGTGTGACCGAATGCCAGAGATCACTGAATCCGAATTCATGCCCTGTGTCAGAGATTGGTGGTGAACAGGTCCTGGCCAATTGTGCTTGAGAGGTTTGATGGCGCAACCCCTAAGATGTTCTTTATATAACCTAGAACCTGAATGACCTCTATTTTTGACCAGAAACCACCCAAGAGATGGTCTTTTCCTATCAAAACACCGGTCATGTTTGGGTTCTAGGTATAGTCCCATAGATGTCCATAGTGAACGACCAACCTCGGGAACCAGCGCAGACGTGCCACCGAACCGACACCGAAGTCGGACCGACCTGACGCCTGACTCCTGGGGGCGAAGCCGTTTTGAGGCACGAAGCACTTCAGGTCGGACCTGAAAGCCCACAGCCGAAGGAAGTCCTGCCATTTCCTTTGGTTTCATGTTGTGAAGGACCAGTCGCCTTCGCTGAGTTTCATGTGTTGACATAGGTCGGTGGGGATGAAAGACTCATGCACCAGCCAGATCGGACCCTCCCAGAACAACTTGAAGACGTAGCCTCACGCGTAGCCTCACGTGTACCCAGGTATGTTTCAAGCCTTTGACAGGCAAACATGGCATCCAAAGAAGAGTCAGCTCTGATTCACCGAGCCTGTCGTGTCACGCCCTCGCCCTAGAACCCTATAGAACGACGCAGCTGACCGCCCTCTGCAGCCTCACGCCCTCGGACCCCGGTCCAGTCGGCGACTTCGGACCTGCCACGATCAGGTCCTGCAGGGCACATGAAACTCGTGCGCTTGGCTTGGGGTCCCGAGAGGGATGGCGATGGCGGGAGAAAGGATGTGTGTGTATTCTTTTCTTTTCCGGGGGCAGCTGCTGCAGCCTGCAACAAAAACCATGTGATGCGTTCCTTGTGGGGTCTGGAATTCTTATGAAGGTTGCTGAGTTGGTAGTCGAGTTGGTCTATCTTGGTCTCAGAATGCGTCCCCGACCACATCAAGACTCATGGCTTTCCAATGTCCCTTTCCCAGACAATCCATCCCTGGTACCCCTGAAGAGTGATAATTATCACTCTTCAGGGGTACCAGGTCCACTATCATGCATGGCATATTTACATACATTGGGGTGGTTTCAGGGGTCAATGTAGGCAAATATGGCATCCGAACTTAGTTGCTCAGCACCTTAGTGGAGGTCACCTCAGTGGTGGTCAGAACCTTAGCAGAATTCCAGTTGGGATGCACGTCACATGGTTGTTGTTGTTTTTTTCCAGCTTCTTTCTTAATTGGAATTCTGGCACGCGCTCGTCTTCGTGACACACTCTCAACGATGCTTAACCCCCCACCCAATGAGTAATCGGACGGTGAAACCTTTGGATCTTCACAAGTAGAGCAACAGAGCACCTTTTGGTTTGAAGAGATTTGGCTGGTCAACCACGTTACCACATGAAGAAAGAAACAGCAGGGTAGCCGGACACGATATCCATCTTGTGGCTCGACTGATTTGGACTCGCCCTCCGACCCAGGTGCAGCCAGTTTGCCTGAAAATCCTCCAAAGCCCACAGGCGTGGCTGACTTCTAGCAGCATTTGCCGGTGCTGGGCATGTTTTTTCTTCGGGGTGGGTGGGGGGGGGGGCTTGGACCCAACATGACCCAACTACGTGGTGCATTTGCTTTTTTGGGGAGGTTGCTGGTATAACACGGTGCGACAGACTGGGCCATGCCGTCAGGTAGGACACAACAGGCATAAAGTAGGAGTCGCGCGGGATGTGTGAACTATTGTCAGTATACCTTGACTCTCCGAAGGTTCCAAAGGTCAAAGTACCTTAGAAAATGAGACATGACCCTATAACAACAGGTACTCATACTAATTTTCAGAGGTACTTTGAGACTCCAGGTGCATTCGATTTGCAGGAGCACTTAGTACTTGTCGCATTCAACATGCAGTTTTGCACATCTCTTGCATTCGATTTCTCCATCACTTCTTCAAGGTGTTTCCACTGGTGCTTCCTTCTTCCTTGTGTTGTGTTGGCTTGCCCTGCTTGCATTGTGGTCTTTGGACTGGACTTCATTGCTCAATCCATCCCACGTCTTGGTGGATTTGATCCGACGACCTAAGGGTGGCGTGCCATGACGTTGTCAGGTCCCTTGAGGGATAGGGGGTCCATGGATCATGACCTGCCCAGGACAAGTGGATATAGAACCTTTAAAAGATGTACTTTTCTCCTATATATAGATCCCTGAATCGGGCTGTGGCATGGACTGTGCGCAAGTCGCGCTGTACCTGGATGTTCCAACTATGCAACATGTTTGCCATGGCCTGGACCGGCTTTACAGATCCCTAAAGGCATCACATATCTATGCACAGTTGGAAGATCATCCATATAGGTATCATTATCCTGTTTGGGTGTCCTGGTTGAGCTATACCCTGCACCCAAAACAAACGGAAACCTCCACATCACGTCTGCAGGTCCAGGTCTCAACTGGGAAGCCTCGACAGCCGCTACTCCAGCTCATGCGCCTGGTCGGCCAGGTGGGCGACAAGCTTCGCGGGAACACCATTCTGTTGCTGGTCAGGGGCCTTGGTCAGGCCGTGGGGTCGTGCGATCGGCGGTAGGTGTAGGTCCAAGAGAAACGAGGACAGGGAGCCTTTTGGAGGCCGAATAGAGTCCGAAGCAAAGCCAACGAGTGTTTGAATTCCTTCCACCTATGTACCTTCGAAGGTACTGGGACCCTCCAAACCTATAACAGTGTCTCCAATCACCGTCTCAGAGGGCACGTGGATCCCTATAAGGGTATGAAAATAGCCCCTCACTTAGCTCCTCTTCCAATCACCGTCTCAGAGGGTATGTGAAGGTGGGATTCCTAGGGTTAAAAAAACACATGGCGTGTGCGGCGTGTCGCTCCTGGTGTTTCTGGCAAGAGTGGTGGTCGTTCTCGTATAGGTGGGTTACAGTTCAGAAAACTATCCCCAAAATGACCTTGAGTACCGAACATGTGTTCTTCAAATAATTGGGACAATTCAGGTGCCCAAGCTTCTTGGCCGCCAGCTTGGTCAGACCAGGGAACTGTTCCAATATTGAATTTTCACCTTCGATTGCTTGTCCAGCCTCGGCCTAGCTTGCCACACAGAGTCCTGGCACCCCTCCGACATGTTCTTTGCATCGAAGCTCAGCGGTGTTCGTGAAGCGGCTGCCAGCTTTGGCTGACATCGAAGCTCAGGAAGTAGCTTGCCATTCCCGGAAGGCCCAACACCGTACATCATGGATATCCAGTGATTGGCTGGGTGAACCGAGACACATGGAGACAAAAGTTAAATGATACCAAATGGAACAAGCACATACCTGGACCTTCCAACTACCAATAAATATACAGGGCTGGTTGTTTTGGTTCTATTTTCGTTGTGTTTTTGTGTTGCATTCATTTTGCAGATGTGTGCATGGTCATTTGCAGGTTTACATCCTTTGGCGTCGCATTTTATTGGCGCTCATGGGCAGATGGTTTTCTTTTCGACCCCAAACCGACCATTCGGAAACCCCGTTCGGATCCTCCTCGTTGGCGGCCGGGCCCGATGGAGCTGCTTTCCTCGTCGCCGACGCCTCGAAAGGATGTCCGCTGAGGCGAATCTCTCCATGACGGTGCTCAACCAGCTCCGGGAGTTACAAGTGGCCGGGGGACACGAGCGACGTTCATCGCACGAGCCCGGCTCGCGCGAGCGACTGGGGGACGGGGGGTGGTTGGTTGGGGTGCGGGACATGGACGGACCTGGACATCGAAACCATGGTCCACCATATTCCACACGGTCACGACCCGAACAGGGGGGGGGTCCGAATGCAGACCAGTTCGGAAGGGATCCGAATGCAGGGCGTTGATGGTGGAGGGACAGATGATCCGCAGGTCCGCAAGAACCCAAGACTGGGTTTGACATGGCCTTTTAGACCCGAAAAAGGTGATCATTGAATATCCTTTACTTCGGTGATGCCAAATAGTAGTGTATAGTAAGCTGCAGTGACTTAAATATTCTCTAATGCCCCTGAGGTTATTCTATATATATAGTGGAAACACTTATAAAGAATAATATTGTTTGGGTATGGAGAAAAATTCCTGTTTGTTGTCAACTTGAGAAGTGATATAGAGTTCAGAGAGTTTTTTTCACAACCATTGCCACTTAGGCTTTGTAACTGCCTTTGGTACGTGTACTGTGTGCCTGAAGAAACACCAATGTCAATTGCACTCTCAGCTGATCTTTTGTTGCCACTACTGCTCCAAAAGGGAGCATTGAATCCATATACGCAAGTATGACATATTGCAGGACTACAATCATGGGTGGGAAAGGTAGCGCGCAGTGAATTTGAGGTAAGTATGCTGAATATTCTATCCGTTAACTTCTAGAAATTATTCTATGTGTTTCCTAATGCACTGACGCACCTTAATCAATATTATATTTGCTTGCAGGTTACTATACTCGAACTGGACTTCTGTCGTCAGCCATGTCTAGTTCCGAGTGGTCGTTCTTGGGTTTGACATGCCGTTCGTGGCTCGTTGGATGGGCCCCCACAGCTGCCGCAGCTCTCCCCGCGACCACCTCACCACCTCGCCGACTGCCGACGGCCGACGAGCTCAGCCGAGGCCAAGGTGTTGCTTCAGCTCGTGGAGAACCGAAGCATCTCCGAGCAAGGAAAAAGCGTCGCGGAGCCCGGGAGCCCTAGTGAGCCCCAAACACGACTGGCCCCAAACACGTGTGAAACGGGCCGGTGAGCATGAGGGATGATAGGGAGGAGGGCGGATCTGGTGATGCTTGAGAGATTTTATGGGATTTTAAATTGTATTTGACTCATTTGACCTATAGATATCCCCCCGTGCAGATCAACATGGACTCTCACAACCACTGGCTTGTAGAGGAACAGGGTTTTTCACTGGGTCATTTTCAGCGTCCATGTGAGTTTGCAGCGACGGCGCCGGCGGATGTTTGGACCTAAAAGGGCCAAAACATCCTATGAAGAGTTTCGGAGGTGAACCGTCATTGACTTTGTAAAACTCTGTAATCACTGTGTGTGGCGATAGGGGAGATCCAAAAGAGCGACACCTGTTCCAGGAATGTGTCATCTCCCTCTCCCAATGATATGTTGACATATGTTTTGGAAAATGTGTGGTTTTTTTTCTTCTAGAGCGATGCCAAAACCAATACCAAACGATACCTGGAGCGAGTCGCCTCAGTCCAGTCCTAGCCCCGTGCGCAGAGCCAGACCTCAGACTAACTCCACTAGCACTTCCTGCCACATAGCAAAGAACTGGTCAAAGGCCTTTGTAAGGCTTGCTTACATGTGGGAGCTTGCAAGAGGATCCACAAAGAATCCGGTTGAGAGAGACTGTAGGTTTTCTTGATTTTGTATTGGGACTGTGTGGAGCGATAAGGCGATAGGGAACCTTGAAGAACGATACCATGGCAGCAGAATGACTAGCAGCATGTTTTGACCTCCGCACACATGACACCTACTCCTTTGCAGGTTGACATGGAACTCCAAAACCATATTGGGTTGTAGAGGAAAATGGTCTTCCTCCGGTCACTTCTCAGGTTCCCTGTTAGTTTGCGGGTGGTATATTACCATACATGGAGTGCCTGGGCCAGAATCACATGACGGTGCTTCTTCCCTGCAGCCGGCCACAACGAGGTCCGTGATCATCTTCTTGCACGGTGAGGAACAATGCCCACAGGCGGTCGTTGGTCCGCGTCCCACGTCGGGTCGCGGGTCGCGGTCGTGGGCTGGTCGCGGTCGTCGGGTGACCCGGGTGAGTCGAGAAGAATCACCTGGTTGGTGCGATAGTTTGCAACCTTTTGAGGGGTGCCCTTGATGGTTTTCTGCTAATATATTGGGCGTCCCTGACCCAGGGTCTCCTCAACCAACAAAGCCTAACAAAGCTTATATATATATATTATGTGTAGTGAATTGCAAGAATCCTTTGCCGAAAAAGATGGGTTTCCCGCATCCTTAAGCAAATCCAAGGATAGATGGAGATGTTGGTGCAACTGCTTTGACCTGCCAACCTCCGACGAATTCCATTCCATGTTGAACATGCAATCATCACTACCCGTGGTTTCAGAGTAGATGGCACAACCCCCAAGATTACTTTTTGATGGGGTTCAGAGAAACTTACCACCCAACTCGGACATTCGTGCCATTTACTCTGCAAACACCATGCAGTTGAGCCTTCCAGGTAGGTTGTGTCCAAAATATCCGGGCTTTGACCCGCAGCCATCGAATTGATCAGACTGTATATACACCTCCTAGCGATCCAAGTGCCTCTCAGAAGGTGATTGGAGACACTGTTATGTAGATTTGGAGGTTCCAAGTACCTTCTGAGAAGGTACGACTGAATCCGTAGGGATTTTGGACTCACTAACATGGAAGTGAACCATGGGCGCCTGGATGACCATTTTCCACTTCTATGTGACTAAATTCGGGAGTACTGCATTCAGGCTGATTGAAGGGTACCACCAACAGATGATTCAGGTCGCTCCATGACCAGCGGCAGGTGGACTTGTTAATGGAGAGGTCCGTGGTGTCCAATTATTGCATTCCCATCATGGCAACTTGGATGCACTGGAAGTGACGTGCCTGGAAGTGTTTGGAGGATGATGAAAGGAACGTGGCTAGACTAGGACATGCGGATTTTGCATGATTTTGCTACCCGGGCGACGCACTTGTTGAATTGGGAGCGGGGAAGCTTGACAACACCTCCTGCACGAAGTAGGAAAGAACAACGACACACTCGGTTCAGTTTGCAGTTTTAGGCGTGCACTCCTGCCAAGTGGCTTGTTTTCACGAACGCTTGCCGGTTGCAAGGTTTCTTCACGCAAGTCGTCAGTCAAAAGCAAGCTCCCTATTCCCTGCACCACGATGTGGACTGCGGAGCTCGAGAGCTCCTGCGGAGGCCCACACGCTGAAGGGCACGGAGTTTCGTTCGGGGCCCTCGGTGGAGAACAGGATGGACAGACGAGCAATACAAGATAGGAATGAGAGATAGCATGTTCTTGTGCATCGTGACGGTGTAGCAAGTTCTCGTGCCTTGTTCATGAAGTACTGCAATGTCAGGAAGATAAGTCAGAGAGAGTAAGAGGTTCTGAAGACCTGTGATACTGAATTCTGATGATCTCCCATCAGTTTCTGGACCCTCCACCTTGGAAAATTGGACATGATCCTTCAGAGGCACTTTGAAACTCCAGGTGGTTGAATGCCACCTGTAAAAACCTGTTCTTTGCCCCCAACCCTTGTGAAACCGAGGAGATGGTGGTTTTTGTCCACCCTACTTCACTGAACAACGTGCCAGAAGGAAGGAACATGCTGCCAAGAGGTTCCAATGCCTGTGAGGCTGTTGTATTACCCAGACGCTCCATGTATGCCATATATGCCTACATTGGGGTGGTTTGGGGGGCCAATGGCATACATGGTGTGTTTGGGTTTTATATCAGATCCTGTTCAGTCAGACCTCGCGCAGATTCTCCATTTCAGCCGCCAAGTGATTGCCAACAGAGGTTGAATGAGCCGAACTAGACTAGTGACTATCCCATAGGTGCCCCAGTAGGGTCCTAGTTCAGGTCACTTAACCTCTCTTGGTGTGTTCAGAACGTCGCCCAGGTGGCATGTTCCCGCACCTTCTCTACAGCGCAAAGCTGTTTCAGGTCCTGTCAAGGCGTGGTTCACTGGTGAGGGCGTTCAAAGGGCGTGGCTCCGTGTGGAACAGGAGATCGGTGCTTGGCCCCCCTTGCCAGGAATAGAGACCTTCTACCTAGCACTTCCACTTCCAACGGGTGCCCTGTTTGGAGACCTTTAAGTAGGGTATAGGGTAGCCTACTGGACACCCAAACAGGATGATCCTGGTAGGAATTGAATTGGTGAAGGAGGGAATGCAAGGTAGCTGGTTGTGAGAGTGGTTGAGAGTGGTTCGATGGCACTGGCACCCCAAGAGGTCTTAGACCGATGGATGTCCATCTATATAAACCACCCAACTTGATCAACTTGGACATGTTGTGCCGCTGGTTGTTCTCTGAAAGTACGTCCTTTATCCTTGAAGTCCTGGAAGTCGTACAGGAGTGAAGGAAGAAGAAGCCCTACCATGCCCTACTTGTCCAGGATTTCCTTTAAGACTCCCCTCCATTCATGCTGCGGTGATAGGTGGGGTCGGTCCTCGCTGCTGAGAACCAAAGGCTTTTAGGAGGATTGCTTTCGCCACAGAACGGGAACAGTTTGCAACGAGGTGAACCTTAAGATACCGAAAATAAGTGAACCGTGAGCTTCCGCGGTTTTTTCCAGGGAGTCACGGTGTCAACTGGGGGAAGTGGTTGGTCAGTGGGGATCTGGGACCCCCACGATGTTCTTCAGTCGACGTTGATGCCGCCTCTCTGAGTCCAGTCCAGTCCAGGTGCCGAGTCTATGCCGAAAAGCTGCTGAAAGAGCAGGACAGGGTCCGAACCCCTAGTGACCACCATTGACGCGCCTGGCACGGTCGGGTTTTGAGAGGACACGGCGGACACGGCGAGGCACCCATGGTGGCGAATTGGTTTGAGGGAACATCTGCAGGAAAGGCATAGTTTGGAGGAAGAAAACCTACCTGGACCTTCGGTGTCCAGGCTGGAGGTCCATTAGTGTGGGGCTTCCAGCCAGGTGACCCCGAGTTCGGAAGGTGCTGAGGTGGTTTCCTGCAGATGTTCTTTGAAACCAAGTCATTGTGACTTGCTGCCTCCAAACAAATCCTTTTCGAAGGCGCATCGCTTCGTGGTGGAAAGTCGTTTTCTGAGCGAAGAAGGCGTCGCTTCGCTGGGGCGTTCAGCGGGTTTGTTCGCAGCAGTTGGGTCCCGCGCTTGGCGCGCCACTCGTAGCACAACGGCCACTCGGGGTTTTTGCCGAGAAGACGATGGTCAATGCCCCTAGTGGCTTGAAGACGTGGAGGAGCACCATGCCCCTAGCGGCCTAAGTAGAGCGGTGAGTGGCACGCCTATAGAGTCCGGTGTAAGTTTTGAGCGAGCGCTGCTGTTTCTAGATGGACCTCCCGACTCACCCTGGATCCTGTAAAAGTCAGAGAGCCCCGCTTGACAGTTTGGATTTCTTAGGGTAGTCCCCATACTTGATGAATTTAAACATCACCCATTCATGCAAATCCAACATAAAACAAAAAACTAACAGCAGATGATATTACAGTATACATGTGCATTTTATACAATTATTGTTCATATATACAATTCTTACACATACAATGAGGTATAATGAGGTATAGTTATATACGTGCTTGGGACCCTCTTGAGACCTTAGGGACCTCGGCATGGCTTGGCATGGGCTTTCCGCCTCACCCAGGTGGTTCCATTGCTGCTGAGAGCGGTGAATCCCAATGGACCGCCACCCCGCGTGCGGAACGCCCGGGGGAAGACCTCCGTTTTCTTTGGTTTTGCGAGCAAAGCTTGGGGGTCGGATCGGACGAGATGAGTTGATGTTTGGATTTACCTCATAGTTTTTGGAGTGTTTTGGAGACAGATGAATAACGCCCCCCCATTTGACTTGGACATGCTCATATCTCTTCATCTGTGTGTTCTTTGGAATCGAGTCCACGTCATCGCTTGGAATCCAAGAACATGTTTGATTCTTTGATAGCAACGGTTTGTAGTCTTCGAAAGCGATGTTTCGGGGGTTGCTTCGGCCCCCTGAGACGTCGACCAGGGATGAGCCGGTCTGAGACATGTTGAGACAGGGTCTGAGACGTTTGATGCAAGCGACCATCAAGTCGCCACTCCTTTGGGGAGATATTGCTCCCTACCTATTAGGCTCCACAAACCATCAAAAACCGGGCTTTCACTAGCAGAAGACATGGTTTTGGTGTGTGGAAGCAAGGGAACACCGTTGTTTTTCATGGATTTGAGGGCCACTAGTAGGGATGATGGGTCTGAAGAATGGACCTAAATAGCAGCCGTGAGACCATTGGCCTAATCGAATCATCCGCATGGAACTGGTGTGAACTAATCTGACGTCGATGAACTGGACAAAGAACTTGTGACGTTGATGAACGAGACCATTTGAGACCCTTCCAATAGGATTTACGATGGTCAATCAGCTAAACTGACGAAGCAGTGGATCTTGCAGCATCTTGCCTGGCTTCTTAGGGGTTTTCTGAGGACTCGAGGTGCAAACCGGTACACGGCCTGGAATCTTCATGAAAGTGGTTTTCCCACCACGCGTTCCATCCAGCTCCGGGTGGTTCGGAAAAGGGTCATGACCCCTTCATCGGGGCCCATGCGGCCTTGCCACGTCACGATGAGAATTTTGAGAGTGTATCTCCACCCATGACCATCCTCTTTGGGTGTCCTGGCTGGACTACCCTGCACTACGTCCGGGGATCTCTAGACAGGACACCCAGACAGTCCAGGACACCCTCCACATGTGATTCTGGGGCTGTCGACGTTGGTCCGGCGGAGCAAGCAGTCGCCGGTCGTTCCGGGTGCCAACAAACCGAGCAGCAACCGCCAGGGTCGACGTTGGTCCAGCAACTTCTGTCAACTAATCTAGACTCATGACTAAATGGTTGAAACAGAAAGGGGGTTGTAAAACTTTGTGCAACCTCATATCATATCCAATCAAACGGGGTTCTATTCACCCACAGTCTATACATATGTCACCAAATGTTTGAGGGCACTTCCACTGATCAGGCAGAAGTCCCCATAGGTCACATGTGTTCACACCAGTTGGGTGTTAGTACCCATGTGAGATCCGTTCCCGGGCGGCCCAACGTGTGGTCCCTTCATGCTGAGAACGTGTTCTTCAGGTTGAAACCGACTATGAAGGCCGCCGCCTTGTGCTGGAGGCCACTTTCTGGACTGGACTGGACGAGAAACTCGTCCGAACGACGAAGAAGCGTGGGCTCTAGAGCCCATGGTCTGGCCACTGACATATGCAGGTATCAAAAGAACGTAAAGAACGTGTGTATATATATATAGGATTATGTAACTATACCAGAGCCCTCCAACAGGTCACCACCTGACACTTTTAAGTATCCAAAAGCTACCAGAGGAGACCTGTAGAGTCGGGTGCTGGTAGTTATTAGTGTATCCGAGTTTCCCACTGGGATGTATCCAGTGCACCCTGGCTCGGGTCCGTCTACGGTCCAGAGGGTCTGTGATTCGCGCAGCAAACACGCGAAGACCAAGCACCCAACTCAGACTATGACTCAAACTGGCATTCTATGGCTACGGATTTGGGATTTGCGGTAGTTGACATGTGACAAAGTATGCTAGTGGCTTGTACTAATACAGGAAACCATTCCGTATATTATAACGAAAGCCAGCCGTATAGCGAACGAAGTGAGTATTCGGGGGTCTGGGGGTTTGCAAAATGAGTAGTTTTGGAAGGTCAAAAATCAGAACTTACTGGGGAAAACCGGCAAAAAGTGGGTGGACGCGATTTGAGCAAAATTGTAAGTTTTGAGGAGGCTGTGGATGCAAGTGATGCAATCAACGGGTCATGATGTAAATGATGCAATGTTAAGTTGCTTGGGGTTTGCGTTTTTAAATGTAACAAGTGCTTTCGGCATGGGCTGCTATCGCTAGACTCAATGAAGTGTTCGTGGAATCTGGCGGGGAAGTTCAAAACACTTCTTGTAAAATTGTACAGCTTCTCCTGAATATTGGAGCACGCCTCAAGAGTTAAGACTGGCGCCTTCCGAGGAGCCTTCCAAATGAACACAACCTAAGACCTAAGGATCCTATCGCTGGTATATGTTCCTCCAGTCACCACTAGCCGGTCTTAGTCTTTGTCTCTGCCCGCAACTTGTATTAGGTTGATGGTTTGTCTTCAGATCAGGTTTGGCCAACTTTGGCCAAGTTTGGCCAGGTTTGGCCAAGTTCGGCCAAGGTTTGGCCAAGTTTGGCCAGGTTTGGCCAGGTTTGGCCAAGGTTGGCCAAGGTTGGCCAGGCTCGGCCAAGTTTGACAAGGTCTGGCAAAGTTCGGCCGGGTTTGGCCGGGTTTGGCAAAGTTTGGCCAAGTTTGGCCAGGTTTGGCCAAGTTTGGCCAGGCTTAATTTTCGATGTCCAAAAACACTTATTGTTTTTCAATTTGGCCATGAAAAGCACTTCTTTGGCCAAAGAAAAACCTCACAAACACTTGTTTCAATCATGTGTTCGACAAACTTGACCAAACGTGGCCAAACCTGGCCAAACCTGGCCAAACCTGGCCAAACCTGGCCAA